CGAGGCCCCCGCAGCACCGCTGGAGCTGAGACACGACATTCAGTCCAGTGTGCCAGGGCCACCTTCGCATACTGCCAGTCCTATTCATCCTTTTTATTTCCTTTTGCTCTCACCACCTTGCACTCGACTCTCAGGTTTTGCCCTGCTAAGGAGGGGGAGGGGGAACAGGCAAATAGATCTTAAAGGTTGCTTGTTTCTGTGGTGCTGCTGTTCAGTGTTGGGTTTTTTTGCATCCTGAATGCACAGGCYACGTGCTGCACAAGGGTAACAAAAACAAAACAAGGTCTCCAGGTCTTTCAGATTTTAAGGTAATCAGATTCCGTGCAGGGATAAGGCTCTATATTTATTGATTCTGATCTTCCACACAATCCTGTGTTTCTAGCTTCCGGGTGAGCCCAGAGGAGCTGTAATCTCTCTACCAGGGTATGTTTTGTAGCCAGTGTTAAACCGTGAGCCACTAGGCTGTAAAAGCTGATCAAAGGTGTTACCTGAAGCTATTAGTTTTAAGTAGCAGACTGCGGAGGTGGCGGCTGCGAGGTGCCTCTGAAAGCCTTCCAGGTTCCCTAATATAAAAATAACTGTCACTCCACAAAGATCAAAGCTTAACCTGGGTAAGTGCCAAGGCTTGGGCCTCAAAGCAGACTAAACATGAGACCTGGCCACCGTGCACCGAGTCAGTGACACTGAAGAAATGAATAGTGAATAACYGGACTGCATGAGTCAAGGAAGTGCTTTGAGAAATGCTGTAATTCCATAGTCCAAACTGCTTAGCAGCCTGGAGAGGATTTTTAGTAGCAGTGCTTGACCTGCTTGATAGGAATAATCACATAAAAATAACGGATGGGAACCTGGTGTTTTGGCATGTACCTGCTCAATGGCTTTTTCTCTTCATTAGGTTAGCAGTTGCAAGCAACAATATAAGCAGGAAAGGACTCAYGGCTCTTTCAGACTCGATGAAAACAAACATGGAGCTTTCTTATATTTACATTTGGGGGAACAATTTTGATGAAGCAACTTGTATGGTAAGTGTTCCCTTCTGAATTCTTTTTATAGGGCTGCCTTTATTACACCAACTAGTGAGTAAGATACCTGAGCACCGTTTCACTGTTATAATATGGTGCTCTAATGACCAGAGATCCACCGGACACAGCAGACAGGACTAATCAAGTACTTGCTTAGTCTATTATCTCCTGGAGTCTTTCCTGTAGTCCAAGTGGATGGTAGAGCATCCTACATGAATATCTTGCAACAGGATTTTATTGATTTCAGGCATTTTCTGAATTAATCCGGAGTGGCCGCTTGAAGCCCCAGTGCACAGACGTGGAGCCATACGAGGTGGATGGGCACGTGCACCTCGCAGAGGTCTCCCATGGCCTCAGGAAACATTACTACTGGACACCGAGCTGGGCCAAGGACAAGGACAAGGCCGCTAACGCCAGCCTCGCGCTCGGAGCCGTTTCAGAACACTTGTGAGTGGGGGGCAGTTTGACACGTGCGCGCTTGAGGGTTTTCTCTCTGGCTTCTGGTGAAACAGGCTGAGTCTATATCAAACTTGCTGCACAGTGTTCCTTTGCAGCCTTTAGTGTGGAAGGAATCTAAAAGGCACTTGAGAAGTTTAAAAAAAAAAAAGAGGGAGGCATTAAAATATCTAACTACATTTCTCCAGTGTACATTGACCTTAAAATTTATTGCTAAATAATGACCAATCTATTAAAAGTCTCTTGCTATGAGAACACATTGCTCTTGCTGCAGTCCTATCTATTGCATAAATCTGTCTTAATGTGATTAGATGCAGTGCTAGGGTTCCCTGGCCATAGATGAGTTTAGTGGAGTGACATGCTGAGTGTGTTCTGCCATTTTAAAAATATTTGTGCTCTAAGAGTAGCACTGGGCACTCCTGGCAGTACTGGGGATTGCAGCAGCCACAGACCACAGAGGTAGCTATAGGAGAGCCCACAGGGGACCCTACTGCCTCTCTACAGCCTGAAGTAGAGCTGGGCAGATGAAGCAGGTAAGAACTGGGCATCAAGCCTGCAGCTGGGGAGCAGCTTTGCTGACCTGCAAGAGAGAGAGGCTGCAAAACAGGATTCCTGCTGGGTGCAGCCCCTTGTCTCCAGTGCTCCACATCCTCTCTCCCCTTTCACATGCTAATGACTTGCTTATGGTGTTTTCCCAAAGGTGACTTTAAAAAAAAAACTTTAAACTTAAGCATTTAGTCAAAATAATGCATTGTCAAAATGCATAATGCAATGCAAAATAATGCATAGTCAAAACAATCCACATTTTCTACTAATACTAATTTACTATTTACTAATACTAWTTAAAGTTAATGAACCTAGTTTGCTGGTATATTAATATTTTAATTAGCCTGCAACACAGAGTTGTTTTTTGTACTATGAATACAAAACTAAACCTGGTATCCTTGTTTTTTCCTGTCTTGGTTTAGAAAGATTCGTATCATTGCAGTCAGATGGAAACTTTGACACCTGAGTAAGACAACATATGCACATGTGGGTAGTTAAACTGTTTAATGGTTTTTGGATACAGCCCTCTTAGGATATTTGTGAACCACTCAAGGTATTGTTTCCTTTTTTCCCCTCTGCTCACACTGTTCATAYGTGAAGTGACTGGATCTCTGCCCTGAACAGAAAAAAGGGACCATACAGGACAGCAGTAGTTTGCGGAGACTTGCACTCGTAGAGTCTTCTGAGTTGCTGAACAAGTAAAAATGAAAAGTAACAATCCCCAGGCTGATACAGGAGTCCTTCTCTCATCTTCCCGGCCTGCCAGAGCCAGCTGGGAGCACTGTTCCCTAATGCAGTGCTCCCAAATCCAGTTCACTCCCTGCAGCACAAATCCCCATGGTCTCTTCTAGAGCAGCCTAATAGACAGGACACCTGGAAGGGGGATATGCAGAGCAGGAACCGGGAACCGAGTTCCTGCAGAGGGACCTCAGAGCTTGTCATCATTCCAGGGCATCCCCACAGACCTGTGGTCCCACTGTGTGGGAACCCTCTTCTATTGCACAGGAGCAGTGCAAGGAAAACAAGGTAAGGAAGGACACACAGAATGTATTGTCTGAGGAGCATCTGCATGCTATGGAAATTCCTACTTGAACAGATGTGTATTCTAAGATACATCTGCATCATCAAAGATTTTGGGGTGTTGCTCTTGGGTGCATTGCAGATTATCCTCTGAGTTATGGMTGCAGGCTCCATACTTAGCACTGTGACTCCAATTAGGGAGCTTCTTGCCAGAAAGAAAAGCATGAAAGTCATACTGAAGTGTAATCTTCCCACACATCTCTCCTTCTCCTTCTTCTCTTGGCTGTACATTAAGCCTCACCTAATTTCATTGCTCAAATTAAGTCTTTCTTTTCATTTATGAATGGTATTACTTTGTAACTTTCCCTTAAACTGCCATGATAACAGGGAACTGAGACTCTACTAACAGTAGGGATGGTTTTTTTTTTTAAGGAGATGAGCTAAGAGGGCAGCAGTGTCATACCAAAATATCACAGGATAAATGGCTCTGGAGTATGAGTCTGAAATATTTTCTATGTGAAGGGTTATTTAACAACACAATGCTGGGCCTCTGCTCTAGACAGTCAGGGCTTTTCTTTCTCTCCTAACCAAGCTCTCCATTATCAAAAGCAGTATTTTGTATTCTTTTGAATGAGATAATTGACCCAGGCTTGAAATTCTTACTGTGTTCTTGTAAATTCTAGTATTCTAGTTGCTTGTTATGCTAGTAGCCAAAGCAAGGATAATCATTTTCTGAAAAGAAACAACACAAACAACCCCRCATCTGCCTTCAGCACCTTGCAGCAAAGCAGCATTTTGGCCTCATTTAAAAGGGAAGGAAAATGACTAATTCAACGGGACCCAGGCTCTACCACTGGCCTGCTAAGTCCTATCCTGAGATCTGTGATCTAGCCACCAGACAGAGGTCACTTTCTGTTAAACAACACAACTTAGAAATTCACTTACATCGATTTTAACATCTTCAAAGCAGAAAAACAAATAGCCCCACACTCCAAACGTTAAAACCAACACTGGAAAAAGAGAGGAAAACAAACAACTCCCCCCACCTCTCACCTTTCACCTTGCTCAAAAGCAGTTAAATGCAGCCTAGTGTAAGTTGATGTAAGCAGACAGAGTATTTCATCATAAGAATCAGGTATTTTTGCTMTCACGAATAAAATGTAACAATCGTTGCTGTGTTACAAGGGCTGCCCTGGGTCCTTGTGCCTGGTGCACAGGGTGGTTATTTTACACTGCTTCCCTCCTCCTCTCCTTGTTCCCCCTTGCAGTTAGACACAGCAGACACAAGGTGAGGGAAAGGTACAAAACAACTTTATTGAAGTCTAACGTAAAACACTTCAGGCTAAATATGTACAACTCCCTTCCCAGGGGATTATAAAATTGAGAGTTGAGCTATATAACAGATAAATTTGTATATACATGAAAGATACTTCAAAAATAACTTAAAAAAAAAAAAAGCTATTAGTCCTTTTCTGAACTTAGTTCTGTAAGGCTTATCAACAGCCTCTCCAAAGTCACATCTCTGGAATCCTTTGCATGGGACTTGTCCATACTTTCAACATTCCTTGAAATATATTACTTCAGAAAAGCTGCCATGCTCTGTGCCCAAATGTAGGCACAAATTCTGAAGTGAGCGAGTTAGCAAGGAGCTATTCTAGCATAAATATTGCAGAACAGCCAATTCAGAAATGTCTAGAGGCAGAAAACCTGTTCAGACAAAACTTGCACTGACTTCAGTGCAAATTTGACAGAGTATGAAACAGTGGTCTCGGTGACACAAATCATTTGATTTTATCCAATTTACAGATCCCAGAATTGGCACTACTCCCTCTTCCTTTTGCAGGTAGATCTCAGGAAGCAGAAGTTTGCCTGAAAAGATTCCATATTTTCCCACAGTCATCCCTAACACAAATTATCAATACTGTTTTAACACCTTGCACCTCCAAAAATGAACCTGGAATCCTTAAGTCTGTGAATCAGATGTGCAGCTGCTTTCTGTGCATCAGCAAAAGCTACAGTACAGACCTGCCTCTTCAGGTCCTACAGCACCCAACCTGAACAYTCCTACAAATTATATATATGTATATATAAAAATCTATATTCTAGGCAATGAATTTGTATTCATTAAAGGAGACCACACCTCAGCAGCTGAGATAGCTTCACAAAAGATAAGAATCAAAACTCTCCGATGGGGACTTGAGAGTGCAGGTCACTAAGTTATTGCTCTGAGACAAAACTACAAGTCTGTGTAATCTATTAAGAAAGGTTAAAATGGTTATCTTGTAAAAAATAGTGATTATCTTGTCTATACAGAAATTTAATGAGTTATAAAGCAAATGTTACTGTTATAAGTATCTAAACAAGATCCTGTATAAATCTAAGCAATGTATTTTTCAAAAAGTCTGAAATCTAAGAATACATTAATAAGCTATAATTTTATAAATATAAAAACAAACCAAAAACAAACAAACCACATTGTTTTGGAATGCATTTTCTGTGTAGGAATGTGGGTTTTTTTCCTCCCAGAACTAATTATCACGTGTGCTCATATATCCTGCATATCTTGATCTTCATGTACTCTTCCTCAGGTTACTACAGCAGCCTATCATTAGTTTATCTTCCACAGATGTTTAAGTGTTTAATTTAATAACTGCACAATGTTGTTCTTTTACAGTACTCATGATATGTCTGTCCAAAAATCATGCTACATTTTCTGAAAGAAAAAGCAGTGAGGAAGCATAGGACAAGCTACAGCCTTTTCGCTTTAGTTACCTAGAGTCAGGATCCTGATCTCTGTGATTCCTCASTTGTAAATGAGAGCTGACAAGGAATCCTTGAGGTACTACGTGAACAATAAAGCTTTAAAAAGAAGGGGGGGAGTTGAATGGCTGCCTCACAGAAAATCAGAGAACTTCATCCATTGTCCTTTGTCATATGGGAAAGCAAAGAAAATAAATGCAAGAAAGGCATGGCAAGAATCAGCTTCAATGAACATAGTTCTGGATGTCTGTGATAAGAATATTCCTGGGTAACAGGGCTGTACTTCGTGTTATGCGTGGTAGACTAACAATGGGGTTAAAGCATAAAATGTGATCAGAAAGCAAGTTTGACACATGCCACAACCTAGGGTGATCAGCACAAGGAAGTTGAAGGTCTTCCCCTTTACAAGTACCAACACGTAGGAAAAGAAAAAAAGTCCAGTCACGCTCAGGAGTCRAGGGACAGCTTACAAAACATTAAAATGAAATCCTCCATAATTTTTTTTCACAAGGCTGTTTAATTAAGGTGCAGATTAATTTTTACTTCATGTAAAACAGATTCAAATAAGAGGTATTTTCTATACTCTTCTATTTATCAGTGTCTGAACACAAGGCATCAGTGAAAATAAAATGCTAGCACCAAGTAACTAACCAGCAAATAAGTATCTTTAAATGTATCGTTGGTACAGCTACATGACTTTTTACTATTTGAGGATTACTTAAATAATGTTTACATTATGCTATTAATGGCACAAACTGGAAAATGGAGTATAAAAATACTGTTATTTTGTCAGTTAGACATTAACAGCCCTACCGGGACACTAAAAATGTTATTTTTAAAAAATTCAAGGTTGGGGGTCATAAAAACAKTTTTACATGAGTCTTGCTAAATAACAGTTTTATGAAGTCACTGTGGATAAGTGACAAGTAACGCAATTCATAAATACTTCAATTAAATCAGTCACATTTTGATAAATTCTTCACCAGAAAAGTATCTATCTGCTCTGCTGCRTTGTTCCTTGATGCCTCCTCATTTAGTATTAAAGTAGTATTTGCCCAGTGAAGGGAGGGATTTATTCCTCTTTTGTACCTACTAACTGAACCACCTTGTGAAACACTACTGTAACAGAAATGATTATTATGAAACTATGATCCATGCCCCACAAGATGCTGGTGCATCTTTTTGTCTTGTCTACAACACTCATGTACCAGCTCCTTTTTCATGGACAAGGTATTGTTCAAGGGTATTGAATGGGATTTCAGGTGCATGAAAAATAAAGCTGGGACAAGGTACAACAATGCTGGCTTTGCTTAAAAAAGAAGTGAGTGACATCTTGGTAAGACTATCCACTGAGCACATACGTCAGGACGTTACCTTGCCTTGTCAGGGATGTTCATCCAAGTTTTCCTTCCCTCAGGTCAGACTTCAACCGAAGGCAGCTACTTCTGGCAGAGAGCAGTAACTCTTTGCAAGCACCTCACCACAGCACTGGCCTGCTACACTGTGTACTCCTGGATATCACCTTGGAATGCAGGAGTACAGGCTTGTTAGGACATCTCAATTAGGATTTTTTTTCTCCTCCTTTGAATTACAATTATTTTCCCCTTCRTACATCTGGGCTAATATTCTTAAACTAAGAAATATGGCTTATAAAGTATGCTCCTAAATGACACTGTGACAAATCAGATGAGCAGGAACACTGAGGAGATCTCCAAAATGCATTAACTTATGTAAAAGAGAATTCTTAAGGCAGGTGTTGCTGGAAAGGAATAGTCTCCTGGAAATCAGTGTTAGCTGCAATTAGAAACGTGATTGTAGATTAGCACAATTCAACAAGAAATGCAAGGCAGCACTGCACAAAGGAGATRCCTTTACAAGTGTCTGTACACAGAAGGGGAAAAAAGTCCAACTCCATGAAGTGTAACTGCGTGAATGATCAGTTCATCTTACCAAAGGATGTGAGTTCACTATTGATTACCTTGTTGGTTCCATGCTGCAGTGTCAGTACAACTGCTGTAAGAAAATAAACTGAGGTTCTGAATATCCAGTCACAGCAGATCTCAGTAACGTTTCTGACGAAGGAGACTGACTACCCGTCACAGGAAGCAGCATCTGATGGTCTTCAGTGCCAATGGGAAGAGGGAGTGGTAAAGACATCTCGGAGGGCTTCACATCTACAGACTCTGATAAAGGACTTTTCTGAACGGATTCTTGTTCATTGAAAGAATTCTCAAGTGTATTGGAATCGGGGGGGGTTTCAGATCCTATGAGGGAAAAAACAAACCATGTTTCCCAGAACCCTTCTCTTAGTACAATTCATATATGGAAAAACTTTGTGGAAAAAACTGCAGAAGAATTGAGAAATAAGATTAGAAAGAACTGAGCGAGTCTTTCTTACTCTTGGCAAATATGAACTGCGATTAGAAACCTGACTGCAGATAACACAGTTCAAAGAGAAATGAAACACATCACTACAAGTGTCTTTACATGGAAGAATAAAAATAACAAGTCCAACTCAAAAATATAAATGTTGAATGAGTATATTCATCTCAACAAGGCTTTCAGAGTCATTATGAGATTACCTTGTTGATTCTAACCCCAGTGTCATCTCACTAAACCTCACAACTCTATACAAGCACTATCCCTCTAAGGAATAAAGATGGACTGAAGAAACATTCCCAAGATGTGATGCGAATCCTGCAAATCCCCTTCACGCGACTGTCTAAATGGTCCTTCAGTGTCTCAAAGGCTGCCTGGGYACTTGGGCACTTGGTGACTGTCACCTCAGCACTCACAACCATGTTCTCTGCTGCTTCCAGCGTATCAGATAGATGACATTCCAGCTAGATCTCTACTTGACTGGCACAGAACAGATACCAGACTCCAGAATCCAGACACAGATACCCATTACTTCCTGTTCCATATCACAGAGGCAGGGGAATTACAGTTAATATACTTAAGGATGGATGGATAACGAAGCATATGCAGACAGTGTGGAAAGAGGCTGGTTCTATTATCTGAAATGTCTGTGACCATAAGCAAGTAACACAAGCAAGTACTAAATTTCTTCCTATTCAAAATTTGATACCTARAATAGGAATCAGATGTATATGAAGTCTTTATAGGGCAGCATTGACAGCTGGGAATGTTCTGTCAGCTCTCTGATCATGTGTTTGCTAATCCAGCTCAGGCTTGGATTAATGTTGACAGGGAATATTTATATTGAAAAAAAAAATCTTTCACAGTTACATTAAAATTATTTGAGCCTTCAGAGAGCAAAGAAATTCTTCCAGCTTGTATGCCCTGCTCACCTCAATTACCACCTTTGTAAGGACAAATTCATTCTAAAGTAGTTAAGAAGAGATTAAAAAAATCTATACCTTAATAAGAAAACATCTCACAGTTTACAAGAGGGTAAGTATTTACATAGGAAAAATCTTGTTCGCAGCAATCCGCTTCTCTGTTGATCAAAAAATGTTTCCTCTAACAAGGCAAATGCTTTGTCTTGAACCTACTTAGCAGGGGCTTTGCACTTTAAAAGGTTTCGCTGCCTCTGAACTATCTTTTTTTTCTATCTAATTTCAGTCCTATTTGATGAAAAGAAAAACAAAAGTTATTCAGCATGGAACAATATAAAAGAGTCAGTGCAATGTCTGAACCTTTCTTTACCCAAAGAACTCACCTGTGTGAACTTTTGTTTTGTGCTTCTTTAGATTTTTTATATCTGTGTAAGAATTTCCACACAATTCACAGATAAAAGGTCTTTCACCTAAAAAAAAAGTGTTCGGCAATTAGAACTTAAGAATAGAATTGTGAAACCAAGAGAAAACACAGCTATAGATGCAGGAGAAYGGATTTCAAAGTTGTATTTAACATGTAACTTTGAAACTGTAAGTTATTTTGTCTGTGTCTGTATTTKTAACAGAAACATTTGCAGAAAAATAGACGGAAAAGAAAAAAAAATTTCATGTTTGAAGTAAAGCCACGCTAATACATCAATGCCTAAGCTGTTAGGCACTAGTCTGAAAACGCAACTTAAATCACAAGCACTTTCTTTAAATTACGTTTAACTCAGAGATGGACTATTTTCAAGCACAGCACAAATAGAGTGAATGTAGAAAAATATTTATTTAACAGGAAGCAGCTTGTCTGGAAACTGACCTGTATGGGACCGAAAATGTTTATTGAGCTCTCCAGAGGAAATAAAACTCTTTCCACAAATGCCACAGATGTATGGCTTCTCTCCTAAAGAAAACACAAGGAKTTTATTACAATATATCAACCAGAATAAGCAAAGGACAAATTAAATGAACAGAGGCATTGTCCAATGGGAGAAGAAGCCTCTAAGCGGAAGTCAAAGGGAAAGAACGTAAGAAAGGAGCTGATGGATGGAAACAGCAGCGGCAACTCCCAGATAATTCCAGTCTACAACATTCCTGATGATGGCTGCTCCYGCATCAGGCTACGGGGGTGCCTGGTGCTCTGCCTCCCCTCACCTGTGTGTTTCCGGGAGTGGGTGATGAGCGAGCTGGACACGGCGAAGGCCTTTCCGCAGGTGTCGCACACGTAGGGCTTCTCCCCGGTGTGGCGCCGCACGTGGTACGTGAGCGTGCTGGCCTGCGCGAAGCGCTGCCCGCAGCGGTCGCACACGTAGGGCTTCTCGCCGCTGTGCTTCCTGCGCGCAAACAAGCAACATCACAGTGACCCAGAGTCTGGGTCTGAGTTTGCAGCTTCTCGCTGAGGAAATTCACTGTCTGTTGACCTTGGCGATTATCAGTGATTTCAGTGGCAGCTACATTGAATTATAGGCATTACACTTGTAATGTTCAGCATGAGACCTCAGCAAGTTTGGCATTACGCTGTATTGCAAGATAAAAGGCTGATTCCTAATAGGGGGACATGACTTGTGCTCCTGCCAAAAGAATACAAATAGTCCCATGTAGACAGGAGCAAACAGTGAGATTTGCTCTGCTTCACTACCAGCCAAGGAATTCTTTCCTTGTCTGTGTCAAAAGAGATYAAGGAACAAAACAAAAATCCAGACATTGACATGAAGACATGAGTGTGAATGCCACAACGTCCATAAACTGCAAAGTACTTCCCTAGTGAGGGAGTATACAGACATATGTATCTATTATACAGTGCAAAACAAGCCCTGAGAATAACGGAGGAGGAGAAATAACCAAGTTATGTGAATATTTAACTCGTGCTCACCCTGAACTGAATTGTTCTCTCTGTTTAAATACATGCACAAGTGAACATGCGTCGTTGTGCTGGCTCCCACTTTTTTTTTTTTTTTTTTTTTTGCCTACCTGGCGTGAATCTTGAGATTGCTAGACGTTGCGAACTGCAGGTTGCACACATCACACTTGTAGGGTTTCTCTTCTCCGTGATGCATCCGGCTGTGGAACACTAACTGGCACTTCTGGGCAAAGCCTTTGTCGCACAGCTCACACTTGTATGGCTTCTCCCCTAGGTAAAGAAAACCAGCGCACTCTACGTGTGAAAGCTTTCCAAGCCATTTACCTGATCTGAGCTCAGGCCTCTGTTCTAGGACTTCTTGCAAACAACATCCTGTAACACCTGATAACCAAGCCACTGAAGCGCTACCTGCCAAGAATACAACACATACTAGACCATTGAACGCACTGTTTTTGAAAAAGTAATGCTTTAAGAGCCCCATTTCCCAATATGCCTTCGAGAATGCTGCTCCTACACTTTCACACAGTTTGAAAGAAAGATTTTGCTGATTACATCTGTTTGTGATACTGAATATTTGAAATGACACATAGTATATTACCTGTTTTTTGGGGTTTTTTTGTCTGTAAAACAGCAAGAAGACTTTGGTATATTTTCTAGTTCTCACAAACATTTCATTAGCATCTGCTGTAGATGCTCCAGGTTGATCTTGGTGATCAGCAGGGTCTCATCTAGCGAACTGTGCAACCTCCACAGTCCCAGATGACACTGTAAAGAGCCTGTGCTTGTACTCCTAGAGCAATGCACAAACCAGCTAAGAACACAACAATCCTGAAGTGTGCTGCTTCCAAAGTTAAACACAACTAACTTGCCATCTTGCAACCAACCGTTAAAATTCTCTACCTATTCACACAAAAATTTCAAGTACAACACGCACAGAAGTAAAAAGCACAAGTGACTTTCCTAACAGAAAACTCTCCCTGAATTTTGCTCACAAACTTCATCTCACACATGAATCTTTGGTTAGTCACTGACTGGTAAACTTGCAGTCCTGTCCCTCAGCCACTGATAGGTCAAGGTGTGCATCCCAACACCTCTTCATGGCTTCCTAGAAATAGTTCCACTGCTGACCTCAGCTCAGAGCTTTCCAAARGGGAGGAAAGAGCAAAAGGAAAAAAAAGTTTTCATCTTTTTCACTGTTACCTCAGAAGTCTGAAAAACAGCCACAAAAGGAATAAAAGGAAGGAAAGCAGGTCTCCCTCATGCTCACTAYGTTAAGCAGAGCAGTAGAGGCAAGAGCAGAACAGCTACAGGAGATCTGGTCCCGATCTACTCAACCCAGGGCTGAGTGTCCAGTAGGAATCTCCAAGGAAGAATGTAAAAAAAGGCAAGCAAGAACACTAMTGCTCAAGTACATCTTCCCAGGCTACAGCAACTTGCTGCTCATAATCTTAATATTAAAGGACTCATCATTGATTTTTCTTCCACGCTTTCCAGGAGTTCGGGATACCACACTTCAAGTAATGGGACTGAATGACAAGAGCTAACATCCTCATACATTTCAGCTGGACATCCAACTACATGAAATGGAAATGCTGTACTGACTTAGCACTATTTTTTCTACTTTTTAAAGACAGACCTATGGGAAGAATTATCTGCTTGTCACAAGGATGCATCTTTTCTTCTCCTATCTGTGTTACCAAACTTCAGACTGGGCATTAAAAAGAAACCCAACAGAAATCAAGATATCTAGCACACGAAGCCTCTCACGCTCTAGTGGCAACACTGACACTTCATTCCCTGTTATCACTTCTCCAAGAGAAAGAAGAGTCAGTTCCCCTGAAACTTTCCAAAAATCAAGGTGCTCACACTAGCAAAGCCCACTCTGAATATTTAACATTTTCCAGAACTAAATCACTTTCTATTTTAAAGCATTTCATACTAACAGGGTACACCCATATGCATACCTGTAAGGTAAATTTCTAAGGCAAAAGTCAAACCGCATAAAAAGATCTTTTTAGTTACGATCTGCATACTGCTATTCCAGGTCTCAGCTGGAGAGGAGAAAGCCAAAAGTGGTTACCTGTGTGAGTTCTTACATGAGTCTTCAGCTGATTGCACTGTGTGAACGCCTTCCCGCAGAGCTGGCACACGTAGGGCTTCACCCCTTTGTGGATCCGCATGTGTCGACGGAGGCTACTGGCTTCTGAGAAGACTTTCCCGCACGTGTTGCACACTGGTTTAGCTTTGGAGAACTTCTGATCCAGCTCCTCCCCTGAGCCCTCCAGCTGGTAAGTGCCCTTTTCGCTGGCTATGTTAGACATACAATGTGCTTTCAGCGCACAGTTTGGCTGAGGTTTTCCCCGTTTTTGTTTTGCTGTAAGAGTCTGAACTAAGATATCTTGTGCTGCCAACGTTTCACTTTCCACCACAGATGACAACTGCAGTTCAGAGTTATCGCTGCCCTGGGCAGCCTGTTCTGTTATCTGCGTGGCCAGTTTATTTGCGTCTAAGAACATCTCGATGGACGTGTTCTCAGCCACATCATTCTCGTATTGTACTGATTTATTCTGTATGCTTTTGGGGGGGCTGAAATTCTTCTTTCGCTTTTTGGTTTGAGCAGATTTCTTCTCTAAGGCTGCTTTCTTTGCTTGTGGTTGAACCAAGTCTGCAGAAGCAGCATCTGCTTTCTCCCGATTATTGTAATCTCGGAGAGTCAGAAGGCAAGTCTGCTGATTCATTTCAATGTTCCCAGTGATGCTAGATGTCTCTGTAGAAGACGGATTAGCAATAAAAGCAAAGTCTTCCATCTTTATCTTGCATTTACTAACCACTTCTTCTACTTTGAGATAATCAGCAGCCTGGTGAATTTCTTTAACATTCCAGCTGCAAGAAAGTAAGAAAGACATATGTGAAAATATTCCAGACAAAGTAAAATATATTAAATACAGATAGCAGAGCTATGGAAAAAAAATGTCAGAAAACACAACTATGAGACGAATGCAGCAAGAGCTAATCTAGTGTTTATTACAGCAAGACAGTTACTTCCAAAGTGATAGTCCACATCTACTAGGGTCTGGGGGTCTACAGAACTACACATTTTTATTTACATAGCTTTTAAAGCCTTTTAAGTTAAAAGTCCGATCATGATGTGGTGAGGCTGAATACTTGTTTGTTGGTCCAAAAAGCTCAGTATGAAAGGCTAAAAAGAATTTAAATGATATAAAATTATCATTCTATAATCTTTCTGCCAAAAATCTTAAGCAATTCACAATGTATTTCCCTCAGTGTTCTGTGAAGCAGGCGTTAATCCTGTTTTATAAAACGATTTCAAGAGTCTTTACTTTAGATCAACAACACACAGACAATATTAAGACCCGWAAAGCCCTTCTTTAAACTACCTCCTTCTTTAAACTACTACCCTGTATTTTCCAGTTCTTGTGACACAAGCCCCAGTGGTTTAGAAAAAAAAAAATCCAAAAAAGGTAACAGATATTTAACATATTCCACCAAAGAAGTTAGGGATTTATAGCACCTTAAAGATAGCTCAATGGCAAACATCACCTTATCAATCTACTGCACTCTTGGAAAAACCAACCAGTCTCTTCTCCACAACTCCCAGAAGCTGCTGCCCACAGCACAGGAACTCCCTAGGAAGGACCCTCCACTTCACAGGAACTCCCCAGGAAGGACCTTCCCSCTGCCATTGCTGCGGTGCCGCAGCRGGGCTCGCTTGCTGGGCTTCCCTGCTTCTCCTTTTCATCTTTTGCTTCTTCCATCTTTCTGCATTCCTATTGAATTCATAACAACTTGGACTAGGCTGAATAAAACAGATTTTTACTAACTAGTGCTCCCTCAACTTCTGTTTTCTTTTTCCATGTTCATCTTATCTGCCTTCCTTTCCTGCCTTTTTTCTTGTCCACCTATTTTCACCTCTCTTCCTGTCTTTCTTTTAAGCTTTCTTCCTTCAGGCCATAGGCAGTAGTTACGGTAGCAGAGGGCTGCACAAGTTTGTAAAATCATCTTTAGAAGAAACAGCAGTAATAAGTTAACAGCATGAAATCAGAATTAAGTACTTTCTTTGGAATACATCAAATGCAAAATCCAGTTATGATTCAGTGTAGCTGCACCATTCAAATTGCAAGAAAAAAAAAAAGAGCATCCAGCTGTTGCATTAATTTGCTATAAAAATACATGTAAAGATAGAGGTTCTTATATGATATGATGTATAATAGATTTTAAGGACATAAAAAAAAGAATAGGGGATATTARCAATTATATATCTGCAATAGCATACAAATTTAAACCTATTTTTAATATTACAACTATAACCAAAAGTTAAAAGGAAAGGAGTAYGTCCGAAAGGAAATACTCAGTGCTGCATAAATTTCCATTTTCTTTGTACTTTTTTGCATTATAGCACACTACAGCAGAATAAATAATACCTTTACATTGTCTGATTMTTTTTAAATAAAGCAAACAGTTACAGCTCTGTATTAACAGCTCTGAACATCTACCACTGTGGAAGCATTTAAAAACCAGACAGAGAGTAACTAGCAACAACTATTSTTTGTGTTTGGCTACAGGTGTTTTACTCATCTTCTGCAATACCATACCRAGTTCAAAGCAAAACCTCCAGGTTTCACCCGTGCTCCCCGTCAGGACAGAGAGCCGCCTCTGCAGACAGCTACAGCAGGAAGGGACCTTAACCCRCCTGCAGGTACCCCCTGCGCTCGGTGACCGCTGCTGAGACGCCACCTCCGTCCCCTGCGCCCTCAGGAGCTCTCCCAGCGCCGGCGGGACAGACGGCAGGAGCGCTGCGGCTCCCGTTCGTACCGCCTTGCAAAGCACGAGTCCCTGGCTTGAAGTAATTGTTTATATTGCTCTACTGCTGTTCATGCTTGCTACTCATTGTGGACAAAACCAACCTGTGCAACTTAAATGACAAATCATGAGTTTAGGACAYCAATGGCAACAAAGGTTTCTTTTAAAACATGTTTAATGCCATCCAACAAGCAAGGGTGCCACGACTGGGCTATGGATTTCCGAGCAGTGAGACTGCTCTGTTGGTGGAGGGTCTGGTCTCCTCTTCCCTCCGAGAGGGAAGGCTCACAGGGAACATGCAGGAGGGCAGCACCCACAGCATCAACACCCTGAGGTGAGGGGGAAGAGCCTTTCAGCAGTTCCCCTCTGCTATTGAAACTGYGGGCTCTGATTGTCGATAACAGATCACGCAAACTTTAACAAGTATTTTTTTAAATAGCAACTATCTTCGTCTCTCAAACGTTACCCTCTAGTGCAAATGAAGTTTCTGTGAGTTCACTTCTGAAACGGGGTCCTACAACCCAGCCTCAGGAAGAGTGCCCTTATCCTTCTCTCGCCCAGAAACCACTGAAGATTTTTAATCCTTCCTGATCCAAAAGGGGAAACACAGAAGGTGAAACCACTGGTACATCAACAGAGTGTATCCTTTAGGAGAGCTAAAAAGAAGCTACTTATCAGGCGCTAAAACACATAATCTGAAGATCTTTGCTTGTTAATAGGTACCTGCTATTCACCTCCCTTTTATAGTTCACTTCCCTCTTCCTCCCCCTCCCCTTCAGCAGCCAGCGTTACCTGTCAAGGTTTAAGTTCCCCGTGTAAATGAACTCCAGGAGCTTCTGGAAGCCGTCGGCCTTGACCTGCGCCTGGTCCAGCACGACGTTGGTGTCGGAGGCGTCGCGGTAGAAGGCGCCGAAGTAGTCGCTGAAGGAGGCGAGCACGTTCCTGTGCGCCCTGAACTGGCACTCGCCGATCACCACGGTGCAGTCGCAGAGGAAGCCGGCCTCGCGCTGCTTGTTGAGCCGCTCCAGGAGGTGCTCGCAGTGGTGCGAATGCGGCATCTTGGCGCCGCGCCCGCCGCCCTGCGGGACACGCTCCGCGCGGGCAACTCGCGTGGGCGCTGCGGGCTCGGCCCCCGCGCGCGCGGGGAGGCGCC